GTGCAATATTAGGCCAGTGTGAGGGCAGTGGAAATGTTTGCCATTCATGTTATTTTCAAGTAACATCAGTGACAGATTTATATTAACCAGTGTCAACCATTATAACGTTGAAATGATGAAATGTTTCTGTTGTTGTAGTTAGTTTATACATGTTTAATATTAGTTCGGTGTGAGGGCAGTGGAAATATTTGCCATTCATGTTATTTTCAACTGATATCAGTGTTATATTTATATTAACAAATGTCAACCATTGTAATGTTAGAATGGTGAAATATTTCTGTTATTGTGGTTAGTTTAGACATGTCTAATTTGAGGCTGGTGTGATGGCAGTGGAAATGTTTTCCATTCATGTTATTTTCAACTGATATCAGTGTTAGATTTATATTAACCAATGTCAACTATTGTAATGTTAGAATGGTGAAATGTTTCTGTTATTGTAGTTAGTTTAGACATGTCTAATTTGAGGCTGGTGTGAGGGCAGTTGGAATTTTTGCCATTCATGTTATTTTCAACTGATATGAGTGTTAGATTTATATTAACTAATATCAACCATTGTAATGTTAGAATGGTGAAATGTTTCCGTTATTGTAGTTAGTTTAGACATTTCTAATTCGAGGCCGGTGTTAGGGCAGTGGGAATGTTTTCCATTCATGTTATTTTCAACTTATATCAGTGTTAGATTTATTTTAACTAATGTCAACCATTATAATGTTGGAATGGTGAAATAATTCTGTTATTGCAGTTAGTTTAGACATGTGTAATATTAGGCAGTTGGTATGGCAGTGGAAATATTTACCACCTATGTTATGTTAAAGTAATATCTGTGCTGGATTTATATTAACCAATGTCAACCAATGTAATGTTAGAATGGTGAAATGTTTCTGTTATTGTAGTTAGCTTGGACATGTGTAATATTAGTCTGGTGTGAGGGCAGTGGAAATGTTTGCCATTCATGTTATTTTCAACTGTTATCAGTGTTAGATTTATATTAACCAATGTCAACCATTATAATTTTGGAATGGTAAAATGTTTCTAATAGTGTAGTTAGTTTGGACATGTGTAATATTAGGCTGGTGTGAGGGCAGTGAAAATGTTTGCCATCCATGTTATATTCAAGTTAAATGAGTGTTAGATGTATATTAACCAATGTCAACCATTATAAAGTTGGAATGGTAAAATGTTTCTGTTATTGTAGTTAGTGTTAGTAGTTAGTGGTGTTTATGGTTGTTTTTTCTTATTGCTGCCATACTGACTGACTGACTGTTATCAGAATGATCGTTTTGGAAGATAATGGTAATTTTGTCAATGTAGAGAATACCTTATAATAAAACATAAGAATCGTTGAAGGATGATATTCTGTGTATTGATTTGTTGTTGCCAGTGTATACGTTGATCGATTTTCATAATTCATGCTTAAGACATGGCCTTTACTCTTATTGATTATATTGTCCAGGCAAATGCTATTGTTTTCAATCGTGTTTCTGCTGCGCAATGGCATCATTTTTTTTTTATGATTTGATGTGATTTTATTCACCAGAGCTGAAGATTTGATTGAGACTTTCGGGAAGTGGTATTACGAAATTGAACATTGGTGGCGCACTCTGGGGGAAGAAGTATTGTGTGAAATCATTTGAAAAAAAAATTATTGCGATATCAAAAATCAAGTGTTAAATCGGAATCAGCAATTCAATGTAGATAAATGTTGATTAAAGCAAGGCTATGTTGAAGTTCCGACCCATTTTTAATTACGGCTGAAACCAATATTTTTGGTGACCCAGAGTTTCCTATGTAGACAACATTGATTAATTACTTCAAGATTATAACGGGATATGCGTCGATCAGGAATGGGAATAATTACAGTGAAATGTTGAAAATCAAAATGTTTGTCACACAATGAGGGGAGTGTCTCTCAATGAAGGAATTGTGAACAATTTATGTGTACTTACCAATGCATGTGGCTCCGTCCTCATAGAGGTGGTATCTAGGTCGACAACCACATTGATAGGAGCCATCTGTATTAATACACACATGGTCACATCTTCCATTGTCAATGACACATTCGTCAACATCTGAATGACAAATACTCAATGTTACCATTACGTCGAATTGTATGCGATTTGAACCACGTTTGTTATAAAAGTAGGTACATATTATTGTTAGAGAGGTACCCCACCCAAATGTTGTTTTAAGTGTCAAATAATATACGATATCTCTGCCATAAATGAATGGTGCTTCGCAAACGCATGCACAGCCATTTGGAACAGAGACGGGTGTTGACTCCTATCATGTTGCCGAGTCTTCTGAATAAACATTTGGTTTGATATATTTTACATATAGTCACAGTACTTACCATGACAACTTTTCCCGTCCGCTTGTAATTGATATCCAAACTCACAGGCGCATTCATAGTGACCCATCATGTCAATACAGATGTGATCACAATGATGATCATCCTCTCCACATTCATCAATATCTGCAGAATGTATGAATTATTTTGAAAAATAATAAACCTAGACGCATTGTCACAGTTATTTGCAAACGGATAAAAAACATCGTATTTCAGCACTGCAACGCGGTTTGAAATTGGTGCACTATGTTGTTTTACCTGTATAGCTGCTGTTTTACTCACGTGTCATCAGGGATGCATTGTATAAACTGTGAAAACTACTATTTATTATAATTATCTGCTTATGTAAACGTACATGTAACAAATATAAAGATTTTAACTATAATACAATATAGTTCGCTATTGAAGAGATATAATACACTGATTGGCGGGTATCTAGACTTACCAATACAGGTGTGCCCATCTTCTTTGAGTACATATCCAGCATAACAAGCACAACTATATGAGCCACCATTGTTGATACATATGTGATCACACATACCATTGTTGTCCTCGCACTCGTTAATGTCTGGGAAAGAAGCGAGAAGAGGAAATAATATGCGACGTATCTTACAGTAAACTAGCCAGAATGGCAGTAACTGTGATAAAACATGTTGTTTTCATATCGATCATATTTATGTGTTGGATTTCTGAACACATTATCTCATAAAACATGACCGATTTTTGTCTCGTTGTAGAAAATGGCTTGTTACTTTAACCCTAACGCGTATCTCTCAAAATTACAAATAGATAACAAGTATAAATTACTTCTCCAACTCGGCTTTAAGTCATTAAACATAAACACCCACTGCTTTTGAAATTGAAACTCAAATTTAGGGTAGTTTTCAATACTTAAAACAATTCCGCTAGACATACATTGATATATACAATCACTACCACTTAATGTGACTGACCTGTCAATGTGCTCAACTGTATAGACAACTGCTACCACATAACTTATACAATTGAAACATAGTTGAATATGAATCTACAGTTATGAATCTACTAGACATGTATCAACATATTTAGACGCTCCTTACTACCTATACTAATTCACTCACAAACCCATTAATTACGATATGTGTTATTATAATAGTTGAATGTGACTCACCTACACAAGTGTTATCATCAATTAACTCATACCCTGGGTAACATCTACACTGGAATGATCCTAATGAGTTGACACATCGCTGACTGCATCCTCCATTATCAGTTGCACACTCATCAATATCTGAAACGTAATCAAATTAAACTGGTGTGAACATATTGTGCTGTAAAACAGCTGACTTATTTCTCCCTATTGTTACATCGAAATGATAAACAAATGAAAAGTGAAATACAGCAAAGAAATATTGATGTTGTATTTTTTAAAATTAAAAATACAATATATATATTAAAGGAATCTGCATATTACCATCACATGTAAAGTGTTCCAAAGTATTTACTAGGTATCCATCATAACACGAGCACTCAAAGGAGCCAACTAAATTAGTGCATTCGTGTTGACATCCACCATTATCATCAAGACACTCGTCTATATCTGAATTTAATGAAACATAAATGTTTTGTAGTTAATTATTATAACAATACACAATATTGCCTAAGATTATATTAATTCTCTGATTTTTTGTATTCAATCACGCCAGACCAGTATAACATGTTTTATATATTACTCAAATACATGATTTAAATGTTATATCTACACGTACGAATCAAGCTACATGTTATTGCTCTTACCATCACTGATGGTGCGTTAGCAAATTATTTGCGGTTGACCAAAGAATTCTGAATGAATTTATAATAATGACAATCAGCTGCATGTTTATTTAACTACTATGCACGTTTTCAAAATGCTTGGTTAAACGGTTTTTGTAGAACACGTGTAGTATTATGGGCAAAAGAAGGACATTTTTTTCCTGAATCCTTCGTAGTGACAACACTATTATTTTTTTCCTGACTTCACATAGACACATTCCAATGCCTACCGTTGCAGGAGAAACCATCCTCGTCCAGTTCATAACCTTCATAACATGTACAGTTGAATGATCCTTCAAGATTGATGCAGTTATGTTCACAACCCCCGTTCTCTACGTCACACTCGTTGATATCTAGAATAGAATAGAATAAACTACGTCAGCCAACCAACCAGCATATATCCAAGGCCCTCGACGCATGTCAACAAGATAATAACCACCACATGACTCGCACCGCTATATTATTATCTCTTCCTCTGTGACAAATGTTAGAACCGTGAAACCAGTGCAAAATCGTAATATGTATACTTTAATTAATTTTACTGCATGGTCATTTCTTATTTCGAGAAATAAAAATGTCTAATTAGATTCTAATAGTACTAGTTAGCTAATCATGTAGTTATTTACTTCTGTAAATACAAAGACATATATACATACAATAAACGTATATATGTTAATGAGAACGCAAACCTGTGCAGTTCTTTTCATCTTCTTCTAACAAGTACCCATCATAACAGGAGCATATGATGGTATCGTTCGCCAGCGATTCGCATATGTGTGCACAACCACCATTTGTAATATTACACGATAATCCTGAAACTAATATATTTATATATTATCACTACAAAATATATATCATCATACAGTGTAATACACAAAATAATTCTACTGGTCGCACTTACATTTCACAGCTCACGTGTTTTGAAAAAAATGTATTTGTCATAAAAATATCACAACATGTATTCTTTAGTGTATCTTGCAACAACATCTACGTAGTAATAATAGGGAGCATGTTATCTTGATTTGCATTACTGTTAATTTAATATAACAACTATTTTATATACCAGTGCAATTTAGTCCGTTATCGTGAAGGTATGAGCCTGCTGAACATGAGCAATTGCCCGTTACTTCGTCACAAATATCTTCACAACCTCCATTATTCACGTCACAGGGTGAAGATGTTGAACCTTAAGATTGAAAACAAATATTCAGTTTGGAAATTAATTCAACGGGATGGGTTTGGCGTTAACCAACCAACTATAACCAGTGTCTTTCTACGCTTCAAAATAAACCGTCTTAAAAAAATAGTTCTGCCAAAGTCCATACTGTAAGAGCATTCAAAATTTTAGGGGCAAAAGTTGAACTCAAGATTATAGAATGTAATCTGTTACCAGCAAATATAATACATCATACTAATATACGTTGCGTCATAGACGTGGTCTCAAAGTACCATATACAAGATAACGATCGAATTGTATTATGGGGTGTAAAAATGTAAAATTTTCGAAATTCCATTGTTATGTATGTATTGTTCTCTGTGAATATTCTATTTAGTACCCGTGTTTTTGTTCTTGTTTATTTTGTCGTAACAGGACATTTGATATCAAATACAAAATGTTGTTCTGTTCTATACCCCCTAACATACTATAAATAAGTACCTCTGACCACGTTTGTACCTGAGTGATGCTTACCTTCCTTAGTCAATACGACAGCTAAGACAATCACGACAACCCCAAGAAGAGTCACTACGACTAATATCAACCCAATTTGCGCTCCAGACAGTCCAGCTGCCGGCGCCTACAATAGTATTAGGGAAAAGAACACATTTATATTTTTTGAGAGACTGGTCATAAACTGATAGCAGCCTAATTTTACCATACACAATTAATGTTTTTATCAGTCTACAACTACACTCATATTACAGTATATTTCAAAAATACCATCGAATATTTTTTTTAATCTTAAGTGACACACTATAGTTAATTATCATGTCTGAATTCCATTAATGCTTCCCAAATGGGTGTTTAAAGCATTAAACATACGAGCGCTGCTATGATTTTGCAAAACATTTGCCTTTGGAGAGCCTAATAGATGGAGAGAATTTTTAATTGTTTATTGTGTCTATCTAGATGCACTTGAACTATAGCTATTAGTAAACAATAGTATTGTTTTACGGTGGATTCTTTCTTGATTGTTATATTTACATATCAATAGCGCTCGATTTCCGACGTAAATCTATCAGTCATGGCCTATAATTTAAATTTGTTTGGAAATTGTCTGCATTCAATCCAATTAATGTTCATTAATTTGATTTCAACTTTACTTTCCAATTTGAGTCTAGTGTGCTGTTGGTGTTATTCGTATTTATTACATGCGCTATACAAAAACAATAATAATCACAATAATTTTGCGATTCATTGTGCTATTTAGTGAAGTGAATATATACCAAAATCAGATTACAATAAAAAACGAAAGTTGGTACATTTTGTAGTAGTCTTAACATTTAGAAAAAAATCAGACAAAGTATTTTGTATTTTATTTTTACCTACCTGGTAGGCGTCCTAAGCTAATGTTAAACACTCGTGTATGATTGTGTGTTATAATAAACAGTATGCATAAGAATTTGTGTATGTGTGTTTTGCGTTTATATTACTAAGCATGTATATTTTTAAAATATGGATTAGGATGTGGTTTTATTTTACCATAGATCAAAACTGCAGGTCGACGTTTCGTATGTACGTGAAACGCTATTTTCCCCTTTTATTTTATCATTCTCATTCACATCACTTGACATCATTAAACGATGTGTCCTTCGTATCCCCATTTAATGATAGTGTATGTGTGATGTAAGAATATACATATGCCAGAGCACTGGGAGCGTAAGTATCAAATACAATGAGAAATCAATAGGGTACGCCGCCGTCTGCCATGAATATTAATGTAACACTTACTATGCTTTATGTATTGCTTTTTATTTATCTCAATTATTTATTGTGATTAGCTCTTCTGGTCTCTGATTAATAATTTTGATAACTTTGACTAATTCCGTGTGTATAATGAAGAACACTTTACAAAATAGCCGCAGCGCAGAATGACGCTTCTGTTTATTAAATATACTAATGTTGCATAACCACTTTATATTTCTCTACAATTGTAACATATTGTGATATTGCATGTCAGGGTGTGCCACGTATTACATTTATCAGATTTCGGGAATTAAATTTATTACTCGCCAAAAATAGTCTCGTCATTTGAAAACGCCATATATACCGGCCATGAATTGCTATTGCGTATAATAATAGCAAATTTCTATATATGCTAATAAACAAACATTGTCGTCCGACCAAATTAATACAGGTTAAAGGTTATTCTAATAATAAACTCACTTAGTTTTCTGTTAGACATTTGTAAAAAAGATTAAAATGAAATAATAAATCGTAATTCAGTAAAATTGAAAAAAAATATATTCAGATTTGTGGCCAAGCCTCTTCCTGTCGCGTTCGACTGTTTCCGGCTTTTCGACTTCCGACTGCGCCACCAAACATTACACGTTGGGGTGGGGGTGGGGGTAAAGTTGTACTTGATAAACTATTAACGTGTGCAAAATACCAGCATGCTATTGAAAATCACGATTTTGTTTTCTAGGAATTAATAGAATATGTCAACATCGATTGAATTTTGAGTAAATGGCGTCATATTATTTTATTTCCTGCATGCAAAATATTATCGAACAATTGGTCTTTGCCCCAACGGCCAGAGGGTATGTGAAGGGGATGTATTTTTTTCAAGCAATCGAAGTAGCGAGATGAACAATGGAACCCTGGACTAAAAAATGGGCGACATGACACTCAGTTCTCGGCTTCCCACTCAAACACTCCATTGGGTTACAATGTGAAAAAAAAGAGAAGCACGAACAAACGCACGAACGTAATACGCATGTGCACAACATTTATGACCAACATTGACATCCCGTATCAAAATCACACTCCTATGAACATTACTGGTGTTTATTAGCTCGATTTGTGTTCAATTGTTTCTTCCAAATAGTCCGCGTAAATGTACAGCGGTTTTACAAGAGATTTTCGAGACCAGTCATGAACTGAAATTCAAATACCATGGGGTACAATGGAACATGCAAAAAGAATCAATCACATATGGCTACGACTCCTAAAGACGAATTCTCATTATATATCACCCAAACTAAGATTTTCAGATAGTGCAAAGCCTACCTAGTCGACAGGAGAAGGAGCTCGATGTAGTCCTTTGTTATTGTCGTTGTTTTTGAATAGTCTATTTACTCAATTAAAAAAAATGTGTATGCAGGAAATGGATTTTCGCAGTAAATACAGCGAACAGACAATTGTTGAGTGCATTGTTAGGGGGGTGGTATTTAACCTGATTGCACGATTCTTTGTAGTGGCAGATTTGAAAAAAAATGCAGTCAAAAAAAAAAAAATGGTGATGGTGAATACATTATCATTTACAACATTTTACAGAGTGGCACTTATTTATATATCAAAAACAGCGTAGTAAGCATCATCCTTTAAATAGCTAGCCCAACAAAATAATGCATTGATTATCATCTGGGTTATGGGTACAATGGGTGTGTTTCAGTGTTTGATTTGAATATACCAAACTAATGTTCATATTTTGAAAAACAAAATGACCGTTTTTTAGTGGGTGTGTAATCGGATTGCAAAATGTACGTATGGTATTGTGAAAATAGCATGATATTTAGTAAATATTTGACGCAAGGGCCAATAAGCTTAAGTGTTTCGTATGTTGTAATGTGTTTTATTGTCCAGGTTAATTAAGAAACATTCCACTAGCGTAGTTTTTTGGCGGTCAGATGACTACATGGAACATATCTGAATAACCAGGTTTGCGTGTCGTATACAATTCCGGATAATGCCTCAAACAAAAAACGATTAGTGGTGTGAAATATAATAAACAATTACTAAAAACAGGCAGAATATGAACATTGGTGTTTTATTAGTTGAACTGAACTGCATTAGTGTGTTTAAAATATTACCAAGCTATGAATATATTGGTGTTTACATTAAAGATATAAGCTATTAAGTTTAGCTAAGTTATTTAATAAATAACTCGTTTTGTATGCAAGCATATACACTGTACACAGCTAGCGAAATGAGCAAGTCTGATTGATTATGTAATGTAAATAATGAATATGATAATTAATTAACATAGGAATATATTTCAACATGCACTATCTTGTAATAAATTGTAAATATATTAATACGTGATAAATACTAGTTGATTTTAAATTTAACATGAATTTCAATCATAGTCCATGAGTGTGGCCGCGTACATTTTTGTGAATAATATTTCTGTCTCCGATGCTGCATATACTATATATACTATACTATATACTATAGACGTTACGCTTGTTTTTTTCACACTCAGAATTCAAAGTGACTGATCTATGACGATGAAACAAGACAGGCAATAGAAAATAAGAACGAGTATTTTACCGCCTTTGGCGTTCCCAGCAGCGTCTCTTCAGCAGCGTCAGACGGCATTACTATTTTACCCTTGATTCACACTCACTGAGACACCGGCCTAAAAAAAATTCAGTGTAATTAACAGGGCATAAACTACATTGGCGATTTCGATATGCCATATGCGATGACAAATAATTTTGTCTACGTGGCAATCTAAACACACTCTCCGTATGACTAATGTGCACTAAACATTTCGGCTGACTTTAACGACGGTTAATAATAGAACTGTATGTGCCCTGCCTCTCACATATATACTATTTGCAGCTGATATATTATTATCTTTACCTTGAATACATGTTTAACTATTGCTGTTTTAATTCATTATGGAAAATCACAAAATCTTTAAATGTTTTGAATTTTAATTTTCATCTCACATGTATTTACATAGATTGTGGCAACGTAAATGTCAGTCGTTTGAACCACACCCAATAAAGCAAGAAAAGCTGGTACGCTGCTCCATATTGATGGTACTTGTGTTCTACCTGGGCGAATTCCTGAACACTAAACAAGGGTGTGGTTCCTTCTACGTTCGCCATCAATCATAATTATTTTTCAGTCACTGAAAATGAAAATGCCACTGGGATAATAACCAATGCCATAGCAGAGTGCAACATTGAAACCGTCCAGTATGGCGCTTAATCGCTTTTTGAAAGAAACGCATTTGTCAAAAACAACGGCAATATAGTAACAGCATATTATATGTTACTACAGGTGTATTTTCAAAACAAATGAGTGTCTGTTCTTTCATTGAAATGAATAAGAACGATAACGAAGAAAATGTTGATATGACAACTGCATACAGATAAAAAACAGTGGTCACTGTGGTCAGACTGACACATCATCATGGATGCATACCGCCATTAGAAATAGAGTATCATCATATATTACACATTTTACTAAAGTTTGTAATATTTCGTACAAGTTTAAATCTTAGTTGTAATATAAATATTCGCTGAAAAACGTATTTGAAAATTTTAAATTAAATATTGCGGTATATGATTTCATAAACGTCGACATTTCATCAGTTGAATCAACATATTTCCAGAAATAAAAACCAACTAGTTAGTTAGTTAATTAGTTGTATGTTATCTAACAGCTTACCTCGCACAGATCTTGATTTTTGGTGAGGTGTATAATAGTTCCAAATTAACTACTGTGTTCACTTGCAACACGAGAAATGGCTACCACATACTGAAATGAAAGCTACGAATCCCGGTAATCCCAGAATAGAACAGTTATCGACGCATGGGTTAACACTATGTATGCTGCCAATCTATGCAAGAGATTTAGTGGATTTCTATTTTGGTGTATTAAAAAACTCACTATTCTTACGCTAATGCATTCAAATGCTGACCAGCATATCTATGGTGACCTGCGGATTATGCAAATGAAGCGACTAGCGAGGTTTCAGTATAGCAACACGATTTTCCGTATCTTTTGAAACACAAATTACACTCAATATTAAAAAAAAATATTTCCCCAAAGAAACACTTTGATCTCAAAACAAACACTTTTTTCTCTAGCTTCTTGTATATTTCAGTAAATTTAATTGAAAACGCTTGGTCACGTGATCGTGCAATGTTGACTAATATTTTCTGGCAAACAGCAGTCTATGTGCATTTTTTTCATATTAACAAAAATATGAAGAACACAAATTAGCAACCTTTGAACTGTCATGTATGTTGTCAACAGTATGTACACGATAAAAGGTCAACCTCGCTGTGCGCATGCGCGTTGACGTACCGTGACGTAGACAATTATAGTAAACTGCATCAAATTTTGTTTCAGTAAACATCAAATACATTCTACACTTTGAATGGTTGTACGTAGTGTAATACTAACACTGTTCACTGAGATTGATAGAGGGCATGTTTGTGCAATTAGCTGTTTTGGAATTGCAGTGAATGATGCCAATGTTAAGAACACTGAAAACGTCAGCCACCATGCACGCATGCGCGGTGACGTGCCATGACGTAAATCAATATTGTAAACACCAGAAAATGTCGTCAATATAAACGACATATAAATTACGCAATTTACCGAACTATATATACTTTATTAATAAAAACACATGAGTTAAGCCAGGCTGACACTTGCACGACTTTTGGCCACGATTTTGTCGTGGCAAGTCGTGCCATTTTGGGGCACGAACTGAGAGGTTCCCGCACTGTTTACGACTTGTTCACGCATATTTCACGACAAGTTCACGACGAGTTCACGAATGCGTGCCCGTCAGTGTCCACATTGACACGAACTGGCACGATGAGTTCACGCATAGTTTGCGGATAGTTTATGCGCTCCCCGCATGGGCACGACGAGTTTGCGCAATTCGGACGGTGGCCAGCCATATAAAAAGGGGGCCTCCCCAACCCCTGGTTATTTTTGGAAGAGACAACATGCTGAATGTCAGAAACACAATCATTGCAGGGAAGAGTATATGCCTATACCTGGCAGCTGCTCTAGCCATTGTTGAAAAGCAGCAGAAAAGGCTGGAAGAGGCAGAAGAGCAAGAAAAGGCAACCCCACCTCGAAGAAAGACACAAAGGAAAGTGTGGGTCAGGGAATGGTTGACCAGAAGGCACGAGTTTGGGGGAATGAGCTATCTCAGCGGTCTCTGCCTCTGGCCTGTCGGCTTCTGGCCTTCTCTGCTTTGCTCTTCTTCATTTCTGCTTTGTTTTAGGCATGTTGTCTCTTCGCTGGCGATCTCTGGAATGGCGAGCAGTGTCCAAGAAGCCCTGCACCGAATCTAGCGCCACTGTCGCGCAGCAGTGGTGAACTGCTCGTGAACTCGTCGTAAACTTCTCGTGCCATCAAAGCGTGAAGTACACGTGACCGTGTCAGTGGGAAGGCACGGCCACGCTGCAATGCGCACCAACTCGTGAACCTGTCTTGAACTACTCGTGAACTCGACGTGAACTATTCGTGACAGTCGCGGCATGGCACGCACTGCCACGCACTGGCACGCATCTTCCCGACGAGTTCACGAACAGTTTGCGCATAGTTCACGACCCGGTCACTAAATTTTGTCGTGACCAAAATTTCGAACATTTCAAAATTCTCGTCCCGACATTGCATGCAGTCACGACGTGTTTACGCACATTCCACGCCAGTTCACGACTAGTTTGCGTACTGGCACGACTTGAGTGTCAGGCTGGCTTTAGTGTGTGGACGGAGAGTGTGCTGGTGTTTGTACATCATTATTTCGCGTGTCCTGCGAGATTTCGCATGTTTCGGCAAATATATGCGTTGCAGGTCAAATTCTGCGTTTGTAAAGGTAAAAATACCAACGAGATATCAGAAATAGCAATGGATGTTGAACGGTGTGACATGAAAATAAAACAAAGTCCACGCCAAGAAGGCTTTACGAAGCAACAACTTTGATTCACAAACAACGAACGTCACTTTAATGGTCGTAATTGAGTGTATATTTATTGCGGTATATATTTTCTAGTTGCTAAGAGGCAAAGGCATGGCAACAACAGTTATTCCATGGAAAGAAGAACGGTTTTACAATAAGTGCATATTGTTGCCTAATTAGAAAATTAAGAACGACGCGCTACCATTATTGCTTGTAATAAATCACCTCCGTCAGAGTTTTTTATGACGTAATAGCGTTACATCATTACGCGACAATGTAAACCTTTATTTACAGATACATTCATTTCAACAACAAATTTGTTTAATTTTAATGATGGAGATTAGGAACAACAATCAAAAATCACCTCATTTTCATATTGGATTCGAATAAGAATCTAAAGGCGATACCATGTACAGCTCCGTCTCATCAGTGCAATAGCAGGAATGTGCACAATAGGAAAGAAGTGTAGTCGATCTCAATATTATTAGGCAAACATCGCTTTTTGTACTATCAGGGAAAAATGAACGTAGTGAAAGTTTGTGAAAGTTTAAGAATAAAACAAATAGACATGGTGATTACTGTATTGTGTAGTAATATTTCAGTTACCTTCAACGATGTTTTACAGTGAA